CCCCCCCCCCCCTCCTTTCCCCCAACCCCCTGGTACCCATCTCCCTGGTGGCCCCATTGTTTCATAGAAACTCAACCTTTTGCATGAGATAGAGAAAGGAAATAGACGGAGAGAAGACCATGAGAGATGGACAGGTCACATCAGTATGGGTGAGAAAATATTTAAGCCAGGGAGGGAAAGAGATAAAGAGATAAAGAACTGACAGTAAAGAGGGGGAGGGGGGACTGTGAATACTGAAAAAAATACAGGCTTATCCCGTAGCAAATTTTACACAATGATTACAAACTTTGTCTAAAAAGGTTTTTATTTAATGAAAAATTAGTCTAATTAAACCAAACCTTATTAAGCTTTTTTTTCCTTCTGGGGCCTGAAATGGAGGAATTTGGGTCAATACTGCTAATTAAACAATATTTTGCTGAATGTGTTTTTGTGCTGGCACCTTGTGGCTGGTTTAGAACTGTCATGGATAAATAAAGAGGACAATAAAGCCGCCAGTAGGTGGTTTTTTAGGTATAAAAAATAAAAATGATTTATTGAATCATTCAAATCAAACGATTCGTTCAAAACGGCTGATTCAATTAGAAACGAAACAAGTGAATGGACCGTTGAATCGCTGGCTCAGATGATTCGTTCAAAAACAGATTCATTCATTCAAGGATTGAAACACCGCTCTACACTGTTGTATAAAATTATTAGCATATTTATGTGCTGATATTCAGAAAAGTACATTGCTTGAGCAATGAATATAAAAACATAAAAACTCATACATGGGTATTTTTTCGTTCATTGCTTGAATTATAAGGGCATTCTAACTGTATTTTTTGCAAAGTCGGTGACATAGGCCTACTCGCCAGCTCTCCTATCGTCTCTAGTCCCTCACAGTCACACATACAGCACAAACATTATGTCAGGGGAATGTCTTTCAATTCTAATCAAGGAAAAAATCATACCTTTTCTGTTTCTGTTGTGTTCTTTTTAAAGAACTTCAAAAGTTGCGCTTGAACCATTTTGCACGAATGGTAACTTGCATTGTTACAGCTTGTTACAGTACAGAGTTCTGATTGGTCAATCGCCGTTATTTAGTTCGTGAATTACCATAAGTAGAAAATTGTAACATTTCATTTGCACGATCAATTTGATATAATACACAACATTATCAATCTAAAGGGGATGGTTAGGGGGGTCATTTTTTTCCACCAGCAGGGGGATGCCATTCCCTCTCAATTTCGAGCCCTGAAGACAAGAGTTTCCACTTTTAAAGTTCTTTATCGTTTCCACTTCTGAGGTGTCATTTAGCCAATAGAGGGCGCTAATATTCACATTTAATCTGGAGCTCAAAATCTATTTATAGCTTCCCTATTTTAATGGACGTTTTTATGCGTATTTAAATAAAGAAGAACCTTTAAATACAGAAACGTTTTATAAGAAGCGCTTAAGACTGGATTTAACTACACACAGAACATACCTATGGAAGACTGTGACTGTATCGTATTTAATAGATTCGGTCACATAAGCGGTGGGTGTGTTACCGGACATGCAGACAAAACATATTCTGACTAATCAAAGAGTGACAAATATTCACTGTGTGTGTACGTTTTATAAGAAGCGCTTAAGACTGGATTTAACTACACACAGAACATACCTATGGAAGACTGTGACTGTATCGTATTTAATAGATTCGGTCACATAAGCGGTGGGTGTGTTACCGGACATGCAGACAAAACATATTCTGACTAATCAAAGAGTGACAAATATTCACTGTGTGTGTGTGGCTCAAATGTATCTGTGGGATTGTACAGTCATCACATATTTCCACCTGCCATCCTGCACATTCTCAACACATTCAGACATTTCCTGTTCCCCTGTCATAGCAGTGCTGAAAGATTTAGATGTCTGTGAGACAGTAAGAGACAGAGATAAAGCAGAGAGAAACTGAACAAGAGGAAATATGAAAGTGGCAACATCAAAGTCCTTTAGAAATATTGGCCTGGCCATGTTGTGTTCTAATGAAGGTATCAGTGAACATTTTGTAATTTAGAAGACAGATTTGTTTTTTTATGATTAGTAACATAATTGCTAAAACAGCATAATTTGTATTGCAATTCCACGTCTATTCTATTCTATTCAGTGTTATTTTGTCAATATCATACACAAAGAACACAAAGCCAAAGTGTAAACTGTTGTAATTATACAAATTAATTTATTTGCTCCATATTTGTTATTTGCCATTCACCTCAAAAAATTGAGATTTGAATATGACACTTCACAAAAACTGAAGTCTGTTAAATATTATAAAATAGAAACAATCATATATGTACAGTGGGATTAATACATATTTACATTATATACAGTAAATTTGGTTTTATGAATACAACAAAAGGGTATGAATGTTGAATTATTAGCCTGTGTATGTACTATGGCAGTGGTGGCGAACTCCCGTCCTGGAGAGCCGCAGCCCTGCAGAGTTCAGCTCCAACCCTAATTAAAACTCACCTGCCTGTAGCTTCCTAGTAACCCTTCAGACCTTGATTAGCTTGTTCAGGTGTGTTTGATTAGGGTTGAAGCAAAACTCTGCAGGGCTGCGGCTCTCCAGGACTGACGTCCGCCACCCCTGTACTATGGTATGGATTATACTATGGTATGTTTTTCCTCAAATCAAATAAGCTTTACAGTCAAACCTGATATAACAGCAATGTATATATAATTTATATACATATTATTGTTATATTGAGACTACTGTTGTATTGATGAATGCTGGACTAAAACATTTCCACAGAAAACTGGGTACAGTAGAATATTGAGAAAATGCCTTTAAATGTGTTCTTAAACTAATGTCAGTGTGTGTATGTGTGTATATCATTTGGCAGATTGAAGAACTCTGCTTGTGATGGCAGGTCCTGTCTGCTGTTTCTTTGACTGCAGCTGCAGCGGTGTATCCACATGACGTTGCGGGTAAAGTCGTCTCGTTCTGGCTCGGGACAGTGAAAGTGTAGAGGGATTGTACGTGTCACAGAGGGAACACAGAAGCGACCGTCTGAGCAGGATCCACATGAACGAGGCCGGTAACGGCGAACAGTGAAGCATCCTGCAAATACGATCTGTACAGGTTTCGGTGGTCGTGTGGTTCTCTGACATTTCTTTCCTTTCTGAATAAAGGAATGAAGAGGATGAGAAAGAGAAAGAGAGAGAGAGAGAAATCTACTTCAATAACAGAACAGAAGCCGTTGACCAAACATCAAAATCAAAATATCAAAATTAGTAATATTATTAAAATTGTAAAAATCTATAAGCAGATGATTATATGTATACATTTATT